ATACCTCTTGTCCAATCAAATTAATTCTAAACCAAAACTCTGAACTGAAACTTTCACACTCCCAGCCTTCTTCCTATGAAAGTACTATAACCTTCCTCTTTTCCGCGTTAGCTCTCCTGCTGGTAAGACGTTTTACATCCATGCTGCTGCCGCTTACTTGCTTAAGATGACGTCGTACTTCAAAATGGGAGTTATTCTATTCAAATATTATTAAGAAATATCTTGTCTGAAAAAGGATTATTTGATATGCATGGAAAAAATAAAGATTGTGATTTTTCAAGATATGTTGTGCTAAATTGCGTCATCATGCTTTCCACTCTGCCACCTTCAAGCCACTACGGTCTTCTCGGTCATCTACGCAGTAAGGTAATCTGTTGGGAGGTCCACTGCTTTCATCTACACATTTGAAATCATTACATATATATATTGAAGGGACATGCATATAAAAATTATATTTGCTAAATTTTACTCAGAGCTAAGCATCAGCTGCAAATCTTCCATTGCATACCTCTCCTTTCTGTGACAAAAACTTCTACCCTAATCTTCAAACCAAACACAAAAACTTCCACCTTCTGCCCCTTATTAAATGCAATACAGTAATATCTTGAAGAAAAGTTAAGGCAATATTTTATAATACTACTGTCAACAAATATTTTTTAGTCTTGTTTTAAAGTTTTCATTTAATGCTGCCCGAACGGTAAAGTGGTTAGTGAGTCTGACTGCCGTATCGAAGGGCTGGGGTTAGAATCCCGAGGAAGGCATGGATGTAATTTTGGCTCTCCCTTCATGGAAGGCAACAGTGGCCCACTTATTAGATGCCTCCATAATAATGTGACCACCCCTTCCAACCTTAGTAGACGACAATGAATATAACAGCTAGTGCCCGCCATTGGAAAAAAAAAAGTGTTTTTTATTTAGGACTGATAAACATCTTAGTAAATATTATTTGTAACTATCTTTGGGCAAAATTAATTTCATGATTGTGACAGAAAATGTGTACAAACTAGAAATTTAGGAGAAACTGAATTTTCTGTTCCACACAATTACCAGATGCATGCATTGTTAAGTTCTGCTCAAAAAATAATTTACATGAAAATTTGTAGCTTGCTCTCCAATGAGCAAAGCTTTTAAACGTTTTTTTACCAGTTGTCAGTTACTTGTAAATAGTACATGCAATGATATCTATTCATTTTCAGTATTTAAAATGTTGAGATGTGTTTTCTAGTTTTACTGTTAATTTTTGCTCTACTGTTAATGTTTTTTTTTTTTTTTAAAATGCACCGAATGCATTGGTGTGAAAAAAAGCAATAAGGTTATGTGCCACAACTTTTATAAATCAATATTCTTTTTCTTTTAAAACTTAAGATGATTGCTAAAGTAGTGAACTAGTTTCTTAATTACTTGATTAATCAAATCATTGCATTAGTAATATACTTCTTTTTATGCTGCAAATTTCTCACTAAAGTAGCAAAAACAATTTTAAAAAGTTCTAAATGTTAAATATCTGAAAGAAATGGTGAAGAATGTCTGCCCTTCAGCTTAGAAATCAGTGGGATGGGAATTAAATACAGTCAAAAGTCGTTAATCCGGACTCGTCGGGACTTCGGCGATTCCGGATTATCGATTTTTCCGGATTATAGATCATCAGTTTAAATCTCGTAAGGTGGCATGCAGAAATTCTAAAATTAAAAATATGAAAACCGTTAAATTATGAAATAAAGAACAATTATGATCTAAAGGGTATCAAAATTTACAAAAAAAAAAAAAAGCTTAATATTTATTTGTTTACTTTATTAAACATTTCTCTCAATGTAAGTTGTTTAAATTGCTTCATTTTATGTGATAAAACTTTCTCTTTAATTCTATAAACAAGACATAACTTCTTGTTCAGTTACAAAGTTCCGCTGTTCAAGTCCCGTTAATTGCTGTCCCGAGAATACTGACTAACTTGTCAATCGAAATTTTTTCGTTTTCACTAACCTCTCTGTCACATTCTTCATGTCTTTATCCATTTTTTGCAGCAATTCCACTTTTTGTTTGTTGGACATCGAAACATACTTTCGTTTTGTAGATCCTTTCGAAGTTCCAGCATCGGAAATTCTATTTGACATAATCGAAAGTTCAAGTTTACTTTTATAAAATTGCTCTTACAGTCTGCAAAAAATAATAAGCGGGATCCAATTCGAAGATTAAGGAACAATGCAATCATTAACATTAACTGAAATAGATAATTAGATAATTTTAGCTTACACCGTCCGTTATACATTAAACGGGCAGGCGAAAACGTATTCTGCAGTTGCGCACACGCATATGCGCAGTAGTCAAGGTCTTACGCGCATGCGTAAAACGCCTGTGCGCATGTGCCAACGCTGCTCATGCGCAGAAAGTTTTTAGCTTTGAGGTCCGGATTATAGATCATTCCGGATTATGGGTGTCCAAATTAACGACTTTTGACTATGCATGCTTCTGAACACATCACAAAGACAAACCCTGCTTCAGGACTCAACTTAATGATGTATGAAAAAGCTATGCATAAATACAGTCAAAAGTCGTTAATCCGGACTCGTTTGCATGTGAATGGGGCTCTGGAAATCTCAGCCTACGACAAGTTTCAGGATCAAACCTTTTGTTTATTCGGTACTATAACAAATGGTTAACCTGGCATCTTTGAGCCAGTTTAAATTCCAAATTAATACTGGAAACAATTTTTTTCATACAGAAAAATGGATACAAAATGGGATAAAGCAAGTTGTATTTACTGGCTAGCAATATAGCTGAAAACATCTGATGATATTTGAAAGTAAAAAAAAAAAAAAAAAAAAGTTTATTTTTTTGTTAATTTACATAAGCATTTCTGCTCTTTTATTACTTTTAACTTGCTTGTTATTTTGCCTAACTTCTGGGCACCCATATGGTTTACTGCAATGATACTTTTATGCCAATACAAACGTTTTAATTAATTTACAATGACAGTTATATGAAAATTCAACTTTTGATTAGCATTACATAACCAAAAAAAAAAACTGTCCATTTTAAGGGAATGACACTGGTAACATTAATTCATTTAAACCTTGTGATAAACTATCTCTGATGATATGGCAAAAGTGACATTATATTAAAGCAGCTGCTGGATGTGCATAATAAGGCAGAAAATAGTACAGTGTAAAGATAATGTAGTACAGAGAAGAATCATTTAAAATTTTAATAAACAGTAGCTTTTGCTTATATATTACTTACAGGTTTTCATTTATACACAACATGGTTTAAAAATCTCTTGAATGAAAAATAATTTTTTTCCTCCTCTTCCTTATTTTTCCTTCCTAAATTTTATAGTTTACATTGTTTGCTCTAACCATTTTGGAGCAGTATTTTTTTAAAATATTTATGCACCATATAGTATAAAATAAAAGCTCTGAATTAGGCTTATTTCTGAAATACAATTTTCTTTTTCATCCTTATTACTGGTTTTAAAAAATGTTCCAGATTTTTACATTCTTTCATAGATAAATTCAGGAAAGTAGTTGGGTATGTGACATGTGGCATGCCCGACAAACAGCTACAAATTTACAAGACCCTGCCAATTTTTATTTTTATTTTTATTTATTTATTTATTTTTTTTTAATTATTACAATCTCCATTCTTACAATTCTCCCTTTTGTCTTTAAAATTTTAGTTTTGCCAACCATGAAAAATAAAAACTTTTCTTACAATACTATTATTTTATTTACAAATATATTTCGGTGCAGGTGTATATATTTCTATTCCAAACTGTTCTGAAGAATAAAGATGCAAGAAGAATGAAGTCGCTATACTTTATAGGTAATTTTATTTGTTCTGCAAACCACAATTGCAAGTAAAAATAATGTTAAATAGGCATATACTATGTATCACACCAAAAAAGTACAGTCAAAAGTCATTAATTCGGACACCCATAATTCGGAATGATCTATAATCCGGACCTCAAAATTAAAATTTTCTGCGCATGTGCCGCGTTGACACATGCGCATAGGCGTTTATGCGTGCGCGTAAGACCTTTTACGACTGCGCATATGAGTGTGCGCAAGTGCAGAATACGTTTTTGCGTGCGCGTTTTATGTATAATGGACGTATAAGCTAAAATTATCTAATTATCTATTTCAGTTAATGTTGATGATTGCGTTGTTCCTTAATTTTCGAATTGGATCCGGCTTATTATTTTTTGCAGACTGTAAGAGCAATTTTATAAAAGTAAGCTTAAACTTTCGATTATATCAACAGAATTTCCTATATATATTTGTTAATATGTAAAGGATCTAAAGCGAAAGCATGTTTTGAAATCCGAAATCTGTTTATCAATTTCACGCTGCTCGGCGGGGGGAACGCCGCAACGAGCGCGTAATGAATTGGAAGTTGATCTGTCAGCACTATCCTTATCTTCAGAGCAGATGTTTTTATTTTATTTGGCTTATAATTCCTTACCAAATTAGTATTTCATCTCGATGTGCTCTGTCTTTGATATGATTTAAAACAAGTTCCTCGTCATTATAATTCGCTTCCGATAGCGAAGAAAGTGACAGAGGTTAGTGAAAACGAAAAAATTTCGATTGACAAATTAGTCGGTATCCTCGACACAGCAATTATAGGACTTGAACAGCGGAACTTTGTAACTGAACAAGAAATTATGTCTGTTAAATAGAATTAAAGAGAAAGTATTATCACATGAAACGAAGCAAAACTTAAACAACTTACATTGAAAGAAATGTTTAATAAAGTAAACAAATAAATATTAAGCTTTTTCTTTTTGCAAATTTTGATACCCTTTAGATCATAATTGTTCTTTATTTCATAAATTACGGTTTCGTATTTTTAATTTTAGAATTTCTGCATGCCATCTTACGAGATTTAAACTGATGATCTATAATCCGGAAAAATCGATAATCCGGAATCGCCAAAGTCCCGACGAGTCCGGATTAACAACTTTTGACTGTATATCTAATTTCAAAGAATGGTTGATTTTTTACCTTATTATATCGTTCTTGAGGAACAAGTTGCAAAATAATTGGTTCCATTGTCGTCACATTTCCAAATCTAACCTCAGGTATGTATAAAGCACATACAACATGGGCCCATCCTAAAACAACGGAAAGAAAAAAAACATTCTTCAATAAAATTTGTTACTTTTTTGGGGGGGGGCAGTATGTGGATGTGCATAATTAACAGCATAGATTTATCCGAAAGAAAATACTCAAACGATATAATTATTTAAAAATAATATCTGCACTTTTAATCTAAACCTATACAGTATAACCTCTCTAAGTCTGCAATTCATGCAACCTTTAAAAGAAAAAATGTAAGTAAATATAACGTGCCCCAAAAATTCCTATTAATATAAATTAATAATTAATAACTATTAACCAAAAATTAATAACTAATTTACTTTCATACAGCCACTTTTATTGCTAAAATTTAAAAAAATTGTCTGATGTACTTCAATAATTTGCTAAGTCATTAAAATATATTTGATAACTAAATGCTGAACTACTTTAAACATGTATCACTTAATATCCAATAACTCGAGTGCCATAGCTTTCTAGATTTTGACTGCCTTGTATTTTTAAGATGCACAGAAAGTTGCTTTTTTACATTTATAGGAGCTCAATTACTTCTTAATTATATTTTATACAAAATTAATTGTATTTTATACAAAGTTTTCAAAAAAAAAATAGTATTATATAAAGACTGATCTCATATACTTTGAAATAATATGGTAACTAACATTAATAAGAATTTTACATTTATAAAGTTTTTGCCTTCTAAATGGGATTAAGAAGTAACAGAAAAATGAACTGTTTGAAAAGTAATTTGTAGGGTTCCTCATGCCTTTTTTCCAAAGATGAATGTTAAGGAACCTAGTGAACAGTGTATCAACTTATCGCTGAGTTCAAACAACTAAAACATAGTATTCAAAACGAGTTAAAATAACCTTTATTTCACTAAAAATAAAAATAACAGTCGGCCCCTCCTCGGGCTTTAACTCAGAATAAGAAATAAGAAAGTAAACTATAATTGACTAAAGAAGACATAGCCAAAGCTAAACACAAGCACCTAATGTAGTTGGCCCTTAAATTAAACTGGCACATAATTAAAATATATATCAAAAGGCACGTAATAATATAGCCGAGCATAACAGCTTCAAGAGTGACTTAGCCCGAAGGCAAACACATGCTACTAAGGATTCCTAGCACTCTCTATCGAAGTTGAATTTTCCTTAAATACTTCTAACTCAATTGCATTCAACACAATACTAAAAATTCATTCTGGTAGGAAGTTGTAAGTGGAAACAAGAATTGATAGAGATGGGCTTTAAAATTAAAATGAAATTTAATAAATGTTATTATAAAAATTAAAATATACCTTACAAATTTATTATGGAAAACAACTACTGCTGCAGATCTTTCATCAAGAGTCATCTATCATTGCATAGATATATAATGAATACTAGTATTTTTAAAACTGTAATTAAAGATAAAACTCTTTTTATAACAACCCCTTCCCTCCCCCCCAAATATAATTTTGTTTACTGAAAAATTATACATGTAACATAAGGTGAATTTTATAAAATAACTTATACATTTTGAATACTCGATTAATATTTTCATATTTCATAATTTTTGGATATGCATAAAGGAAATTTTATATACTACTTCACTCCCCCCAAAAAATCATCAAAATTTCTTACCACCACCATCAGTTCTTTTCAAAGCTCCATCTTTTGAAGGACAAAGTTCACATCTCTGTAATACGAAATAGTTTTATAATTTAAAAATGAGTGAAAGTAAATGTAAAAAAAATATATAAGTCAGATTAATAATCAAAATATCATTAAAAAATTTTACACACAGAATTAATCTTGTGAACAATTAAATTGCAATATGACCACTTATAACTAAATTATTGTCATAAATTAAAACATTTTCCATAACATATTACATCTGATTTATATGCTCAAATAAAAGCAAATAAGCATGAATATAAAAATGCACAATTCATTCAAAGATTCATGCATAAAATCAATACAATTAATAATTCTAAATTACGCATATAAAGTTTGCATCTGCATGCCTCCAACCAAGCATTCATAATTTGGTGTGGATCAAAACAATGATAATGAATCTTCAGTGTGGGAATCAGTAAGTACGAAATGATTAGTTTTCTTGAACTTTTAAATATATTTAAAAAAAGGATTTATATAAGTATGCAGATCCAAAACAAGAGTGGATATACTTGTTACATTTGGTGACACTGGAATGCTTTTCGCTACTGACACTCTCACGTTTTCTAGCTTGCAAGGTTAGATCAGTTTGAAGAGCTATAATTTCATTTTCTAAAATGCTTTTTCTTTTTATCAAAATTTAATATGTCAAAAATTTTGTGGCAACATGTTTTACATTAAAATCCGTTTTAAAAGGAAAAGAGAGCTACTGTGCAATAACTTTTAATCTTTCCAAAATCATGAAATCTGACTTCAAAGTCTTCAATAGACCTTTTTAATTTCTGCAATGTATTTTTCAATGTCATAATTATAGTTTTCATGTTTTGTTAATCGGACCTATTTAGAGAGTGATTCAAATTGTTTTGTTGAAGAGCTTCTATTAGCATGATAAATTTTGTTTTGTAATCATTAATGTTAACTGATAATTTTTTTTTTCAACTCTAAATTTAAATTACTTAATTTTGATGCGAAATCTGAAATAAAAGCTGAATCATTTAGCCATGTTTCTTCATTTAAATCTGCACAGTCTTGATCACCCTCCTCCATAAAATTGTTAATCTCAGTGAATAAAATCACAAAATTGTTGTAGTATGCAAATTGTTCTATATAATAACTGCATGGAAATATTTAAGAAAGATTGAACGGAGCTTCTGTAGGATGCTTCACAGGATCAACAGTATCACGGGACAGTATCTGTATCACCATATAATAATGCCCTGGTTTCTCGTCCTGCCCTGTCTGCAGACACTTACTTTTACTCAACCACCTTACACTGGATATGAAATAATAATTCTGGATGTCCTTCATCATGCTGCAATTGAAAGAGCGGCTGAGAGAATTTTCTCAAATGGAATTAACAATTTTGAATGTTATATACATTATTGCTTTTGTATTTAATCTTTTACTAGCTAACACTTGCTGGTAAATTAGCAAGGGTGACTTTAAAATCTTGAGAATTTGTCATCATTTTGGCATCCCCCCCAGTGTTATAAATCCATTCATGTCGCCAATCACTACTCCTGCTATTATTATTAAAACTAATTTGAAAAGAGACAGTTTCAAATTAATGAGGAAGTTTTTAAAATATTGTTTTTAAAAATGTTGAATATATCTACACCACTAGTCCTTCTTTCAAAGAAACTACACCCAAAAATTCTTTATATGTATAATCTTTAAAAACCATACAGATAAAAATAAGCAATTGTTCTGTGTCATTCATATCTGTCTACTCATCAAACTGAAGGTGAAAAACAAGAACATCATTAATGTAGTTATTTTCTTAATCCACTATATTATAGTAATTGCAATAATAACTTCAATTTTATTCTTAAAACCATCAAAAAGTGAATCTGACATTTAAAAGAAAGTTTCTTTAATGTTCCAGGGTTCCTACACATTTCTGTGCACAGAAATTAAGTACTTTTAAGGACCATTAATTGAAAAAAAAAAAAAAAATTAAGGACCATGAGCAAATGAGACCTGAATAAATTCAACTAAAAATATTATTCTATGCCTGAATTTCACTTTTGTAATACCATCCTAAAAATAAAATGGATCCCTAAGTAGTATGCATTATTACTAAAAATGAATTAAATAACATAATTATTAATAAGAGAATAAAATAATTGATGCAATTTATCAAGTAGTATTAAATATTTTACACTTATAATAGTTGGACATATTTGAAGAAGATAAGTGACATTTACGTTTTACTAATAGTTACCTTTATGTCTCATTTTGTCACATACTTGGTCAGTCTAGGTTTAGTAAATAGCAGGTATTAGATTTTATGTCAAGCGGCATAGGTTAAAATGAGAAGTAAGATCATAATCGGCATGATTCATAACAAAAGACTGAATGTTGTCACCACTGCTGATTGTCCAGAGAGAGAGATGCTGATTCGAACAAACCTGAAAGGCTGATGTAGGCACGGTTGGCATGTGCTGAAATTTAGTCGAGCTCCGTTTGATGCAGTTAGTTTCATAGCTTTGTGTAGAGTTCCAGAGGTTGGAACCCAGTTAATATACTTTAAGGTTCCAATAAGCCATTAAAGCACCAGAGGTGATAAGTTGTTTTGCATTAATTTAAGCCTCACTAGATGCAAAGAATAAGTTTTACTTGAATTTTTACATTTTTGTGTTTCATCTTGTGACCACAGTGAGTATTAATGAAAGGACTCTCTTTAATATGTAGAAATAATTTTTAAGGGTAAGCAGTTAATTATAAATAATTTAATTAGGTAATTAGATAACCTTAGTCATGGATTTACATGGCCCCTATTAAATTTTATTTTTTAACAGTATTTGTTAAAAAAGCCCTATTAAAATCACAATCTAATAGAATTTCACAGTTTAAAATACATGTAATTTATGACATTGATTCTTTAACGATATTAGGATAATTACACATTAAAAGCTAAAAAAAAAAAAAAAATTATGTTTTGTAACAACAACACTCCACAAAATATTTATCCGTCATTTTAATTTAAAGCCTTCCCAAACATTTTGGCTAGTTTATATCGATTTCCTTCTCTTTAAGCATCTTTTCTAACAATGAGAGATTTGTTTCAATATGCAAACCAATGCTCTTGCTAGTTTCTACGTGCTTTATATCTCCTAACTTATCAACCTCTTCACAATGCACCTACGAGGTTGTAAGGATTATGTTAATTTTATTAACAGTTAAATTTTAAGTTCCTTTCCTGTCAAATTCTTAACTTCAACTTACTACTTCCGGCCAGAATGTAGTTTTTGAATCTTGCTGAATATTTAATGAGGAGGAGCGGTATTTAACCACGAAGTTACTTAATCTTCGTTCAGACGGGGGCATAAAGGGCATAAGTGGATAAAGCCGAGCTTCGTTGCCAAGGCAACCAGTCTGTGCAACGTCACAAAATCTGGATTAGGGCTCGTGGCATAAGGTTCAAAGTTTTCAAATTTACGCCGAGTTTGGGATAAGCATCGACCAATCAGAGCGAAGCTAGAATGAAACGGCATTCTACAGAAGATTTCACTGTCACAAAACAAGCAGAGTGAACGCAGGAAATCAATCGAGCAGGAGAACAGCACGGGAAAATTGTAGACACATCCACACATGCATAAATTTAGCTTTTCTCATTGGCCACAGCTTACACCTCGTTCTCGCAAGTGTGAACGGAATTCCCATATTTTATGCGCTTATGACTACACCTCTGTGCCCTTTACGCCGCCGTCTGAACACAGCCTTACAGAATCAGAGTTTTTGATTTACGTGCGTCTTGCCTTCTTGGCCACTCTCTCTCTCAAAGCTGTTACTACGCTCAGCCATACTCAGGCCCTTGCTAAACTTCGTAGTCAAATAAGTTAAGGGGCCAACTCGATTTGAATCTTGATAGCTTCGGCTATATTTCTTTAGTTAATCTTAGTTTTAATTTAATTCTTAGTCTCTTAAGTTCAATCCAAGTGTCGGCTTTGTTTGTACACTCCCAGGCGGCATTTTGTTAAATCTTATTAGAATAATAAAGGGTTAGTTACCATTCTATCTTGTTGTTTCTTGTCACCCGAACTTAAGTGATCATTTACTATTTAGTTCTTAAGACTCGTCACTTTCTATAGTAACTGAGATTTACACAAAGAAAGTCTTGTTTACTTGCTGTGAGGTGTACCTATGAGGTGCTAGTGTTTACTTGATCTGGTAAATGTTAAATAGTCCCAAACCCCAGACAGACGTGAAGCAAATTATCCCCATGCCTGAAAGTAACAATATCAGAGAAAGGTTTAAATAAGCCTCTTATTTAAAAAGAACTTAGAACATAAAGGCATGGTCTGATGCTAACAAAATCAATTACAGCTCACGGTGACATAATTAAATAAAAACAGTCAAATTCAAACTAAAAATGTGAACTAGTGGTCAAAGATTATACAATTTAATTTAAATTTAATCTGGATCAGAATTCTATCATATGAGGAAATAGAAATTGGAAATTATAGTAAAGGCTGAAATCATAAACAATTAGGTAGTTTACATAATAATAACTGCACATATCTTTGAAGAATAATTTTCTTTATATATTCAGTTTCTTTCTTCAGCACGTTTCCTTTTTCATTTTAGAATTTTTGGATTTAATTAAGGATTTCTGTTATTCTAAAAAACACTAAATGCATTTAGAATGCATAGAAAAAGTGGTTAATTTTATTTCTTTAGTAATATGAATATTCAGAAGAAATATGAAATATATATGGTAAAGGCTGGTTGGCAGAATTTTTAGAATTTAGTGACAAACAGAACAACAAAATCTAGAAATGGCAAAACTTTTAGAATTTAGAGCAGACATTGGAATCAGAATTTTAAAATGCACTAGACAACAGAATTTAAAATCCACAGAGATTGCATCAAGTGGGAAAATGTTTAGTGCCCGCTCTGTGTATGATGCATTAAGACATATTAGATGAATCTTTTAAATTTAAGTTTTCAATTTCTTTATTAATAAAAAAATCCCTTTCTATAATACCTGCCCAAGTGATAAGATTAGAAGCATTTTTG